AGTGTTACACACAATTTAGCAGTCGATTCGCGTGCTACCACATTCAACAGTGTTACACACAATTTAGCAGTCGATTCACGTGCTACCACATTCAACAGTGTTACACACAATTTAGCAGTCGATTCGCGTGCTACCACATTCAACAGTGTTACACACAATTTAGCAGTCGATTCGCGTGCTACCACATTCAACAGTGTTACACACAATTTAGCAGTCGATTCGCGTGCTACCACATTCAACAGTGTTACACACAATTTAGCAGTCGATTCGCGTGCTACCACATTCAACAGTGTTACACACAATTTAGCAGTCGATTCGCGTGCTACCACATTCAACAGTGTTACACACATTTTAGCAGTCGATTCGCGTGCTACCACATTCCCCCACTGCACTTGAGAATCAGCTTGATCATTCTGGCTTATCACTTTACTAAGTAACATATGGGGTTGGTTTTAATGATACATTAGCTGTCTTAAACAACTTTGAGATTCTGTGCAAATGCCACTCAGAAACACGTAGTTGCGAGAGTCCTACGTCACTTAGATTTTCTACGGCACAGCCCAGAAGATGGAGCTGGTTGTCAGAGCTGGGTCCTGTGCAAATACCACCCATAAACTAGCCACAGTTTTTGAAAATCCCTGGATTCTTGAATTCGACGTCTTCCTCAGTAATTATATCTTTCATATTTGTACTTCCATGACCTTTCAACGTGAGTTTAAACTATTACCTGATAAATAGTAACTCTTCTAACATAAATTACATTTGAACTTGATTTTTTGCCCCCGTTCCTATGATTCAGCCCTGGACGTGCACAAAACTGTTAGCGGCACCTCTAGTTTTCCCACCGATACCAAGGAAAGTATAAGTATTCGATTTCCTTTGTGAAGGACGACTACATAAAGAAGGAAGTTACGTCACAGAGTTTCCAGTAAGACAGTATGAATAGCCACTTCTGTAGTCCATACGTCGAGAGCATTTCAATTTTATAGCCGATTCCTGGAAAGGAAATGATTGCCTTGAAAACGAATTCGTTTGAAGCTTTTAACGATTACTGGTTGTACTTGAAAATATTGTAGAAATCTTTTACTTAAAGCCAGGTCCTTAATTTATCAGCATATAAAATATTAACGCATCAATGCCCTCAAATGTTAAATTAAGAAATGCTCAATGAATATTAAATATTATTAATGTGTGATTATAGAGTTTGATGGAGAAATGTCAAGGTGAGAACCATTCTCCACAATAAGTCACCCTGACATCACGTTTTTATAGAGAATACAATCCTAATGTTTTTGGCGTTTGGTGCATATTAGGGTAATGCATTGAGACCAACTATTCCTCTTTAACAAATTCAAGTAATGTTAAGAAAAGTATTTGGACCCCTGGTTCGGCCATGCTACTGACCAGTTAACAAGCTTCTTAAGACGACACAGATCATAGTAACAGAATTACCTTCGTAGTTGAAAAGAACAATGTGTGTGTATGTGTGGGAATCTGTGTGTGTTTAAGAAATGTAGTAATTGTTTGAAGGACCGTCTCTTTTTCTGGTTTAATTAATTCTCAAGTAATAAAATTATCCAGTAAACGAAGAGATTAGTCAATATTCGTTACATACCAATTGTCGTCACAAAAATGAAATGTTTAGGTATCAGAGATATCTAAAATGTCACATAGGAACCATTTAAATATTTTGGAATCAGACATTATCTAAAACTTATGTTTAATTTTATGTAGAAAAATATACAAAAGCAATTACCAAGTTCCCTTCAAATAATTTTTTTTAATAAAAGAAACTGTATAAATTAAAAATGTAAATGAATGTAAATTAAAATTTTGATAAAGCAATATAAATTATTTCTTCGTTATGTTGTAAATTTTGTGTAATGTTTCGATTTTCAAAATGGATTTCTGCTTTTTAAAATAAGTCCACATTATACCAATGACAGAAAGAAAAAAAAAATAATTGAGTGTCAGGAGGTATAATATTTAAGATTTGTAACGCACACTTTGAATTGCCCGGCCACATCGTATGGTATAAAAGCTTCTTATCACTTACGAAAATTATCGAAAACTTCAATCCGCGTTGAATCATTGTCAAAGCGGTGTTTTTATGACCTAGTTATAGGTTCACCTCATTTCTGACGCATTAACCTTGAACTGTTAATAAAGCACGCATTTTGGATTGGTTGCATAGGTTGACTGTTGACGTGTATTGGCCATACTTTTATGAAATTCGGTTAGACCGAGCAGTGTGTGCTCTTAAAATATGCAATTTCTCTATTTGGTGACACTTCTTGAAATGGTGTCACCCGGCACGGTCAGCTGCAACGAGATGAGGTGATAACTTTATGAGAAAATAATCAACTGAACGAAAATGTCACATATGTTCAAAAAAATTTAATGCTCCATCCGCACATCAACCCACAAGATGGATATGCAAGAAGAAAGAAATTATATACATGTATTTGAAAAATCATGAGGTGGAGGGAGTGTGGATTCTTGTTCATATCTCATAACCTGGTATGAAGTGAAGAAAGATTTGGCATAATTTCAAACTATAAATGTAAGAACAAATATTTCGTTTGACTATTATCCTTATTTTGTTTATCTTTATGACTGTAATCAAACTTCTAGACGGAGTGACACACAAATACGCGTGTCTCAACGCTATTTATGTCTAGCTTGTTTCTGCTTCTTTCACACACACAGATGGAATATCTTCCCGCTCTCTATTCCTAACTCCTTTCGGCTCTTCTCCCACTCAAAGATGCCATGTCTGCCCGATCTCTATTTCTAAATTTTTTCTGATACTTTGCCACATTACATTGTTTTTCTCCTTTTTTCTACACATGTATATACACTTATTAACAGATACAACATACGTAATGTACAAATATAATGCTGACATATATATATAATATATAAGTGGAGCCAATTAGGCAATATAAATGTTCTTTAACTAGATCAATTAATGAAACCAGTTTGAGAGCTGGAAACGAGCCTGAACAGAATTTGAATAAATATTTTAAATGTCCCTGACAAGGAGGGCATACTAATAATAATAATAATAATAATAATAAGTGGTCTTTTATAGCGCGGTACCCCAGCCTAGGGCTGGGCTCACCGCGCTGTACATAAAAATAATATCAAAAGAGACATAATCATGACATTAAAATCAAATACAATTATGAAATAAAGAACAGCATGAACCCCAGGACTTTTACAAGGCAAACCATGGACGGCAGCCAACAAGATCAGTCAGAGGAGGGGAATCATTCAGGGTAGTATGGTTTAAAGAAATGTGTTTTGAGTGCAGTTTTGAAGGCCTGGGTGATTGGTATTTTGTGGATGTGTAGTGGCAAAGAATTCCACTGTTTTTGGGCGCAGAAAGAGAAAGATCATTCACCATATGTTTTAGTGTGTGGCTTGGGAATGGACAGAATACGCGTGTCTGCAGAGGAGTGAAGCTGTCGAAGGGGTGAATAGACAGAAAGAATTTCGGTTAGATAAGAAGGGTAGGAATCCGAGAAAAATTTGTGACAGAGAACAGACAACTTGTAGTCAATGTTTGACTGTATAGGGAGCCAATGAAGGGAGTGGAGTAGTGGAGTGACGTGATCACATTTTCTTTGCCTTTAGAACCAGTCTAGCAGATGAGTTTTGAACTTTCTGCTGTTTTTCTATGCAGTGTTTTGGTGAACCTGACAGAAGAGAGTGTGCAATAGTCAAAACGAGAGAGAACAAGAGTACAGACTAGTGTTTTTGTAGCACTATTTGTCAGGTATTGGCGGATGGAACTGATCTGACGGATAGCGGTGTATGCCGAACGACAAATGTTAGAGATATGTTTATCGAGAGACATGTTAGAAATAATATAACCAAGATTCCTAGCAGAGTGTTTAAACCGTATGTCGGTGTTACCTACTTAAAATGAGGTGGTAAGAGTTGAGGTAGAGGATGATGTGTGATTGTGAATGAGGAGTGCTTCCGTTGTGTCATCATTATGCTTGTGATTAGTTTTTGTAGTGTTGCGTTTGTTTTAAATGTGGTAAATTATAGATATGTTTTTTGTTGACTTTGTACCGCGCTTCGAGCCTTTGGGGATGAAGCGTGTTTTTGAAATGAACTTTATTATAATTATTATTATTATTATTAAGCTTCAACTTGCTGAGTGTCATCCAGGACTTGGCATCATCAATGCACCCCCGCAAAGTCTGGACAGCGGAATCGTTAAGAGAGAGATGGGTATACTTGTATAGCTGCGTGTCATCTGCAAATGACTGGCTCTCAACAGCATGCCTCCCAAGCAAGAGGAGCAGTGGTCTGGTATACAATGGGAATAGAACAGGGCCTAAAACGGACGCCTGTTGCACTCTGTACACCAAATTAGCACTGCCTGAGAGACATCCATTGACAGCCATTAATGCTGCGTTCTATCAGAGAGGTAGGACCTAAACCAAGCCAAAACTGAACCAGAAATTCCAAAGTAATTTTTAAGGATTTTGAAAAGTATTACATGTTCAATGGCAGCAGCTTGCCGATATCTCTTTTTAAATATATTATTCAATACACATGCAATTTTTATTCGCCTTTATTATGAGGAAGAATTGGGATAATGGCTTTTTTTAAAATTTGGAACGCCTTTAATAGCTTCTATTTGCCCATGATATAAGCTCTGTTGGTTATTAAGTTTTGAAAAAGCTCGAAAAAATGAACTCCTTCTTAAAATGATTCATTTTCACTGCTTGCTATTTCAGGACAAGGTGCTACCTTTTTAAGAATCTCATTATCAAAGATATTGCAGTAGGAATAATCATCGGGACGATTGCCTTCACAGTTTCCCAAAGATAATTATTATTGGCCTTCACATTTTCTTTCTCAACATCCTTAGTCTTTTTCATCATCTCTTGGACCATCTGCTCCAGTTTAGCTTGTCTTTCCATCCCTTCTTTTTCAATCTGGGCAATTTTAGCCTCAGAAGCTTTTCTTTCGTCTTCTCTTTGTTCCGATAGAAACTTTTCCTGCTGTGATTTTAGCATGTCGATTTCTTTTTTATGTTTTTTTCCCTTTTCCCCAATGTCTATAGCGATCTTGGTGATTATTATTTGATCCTGAACGGTGGTTTGAATGTTTCTAGCGTTGGTGATTATATCTTTCAGAGCGCCAGTGCCTTTATCTTGAGCCAAAACACTGTCTACCAGATTTCGTGCTCTCTCAGCAAGGCCTTCAAGAATTGTTAATCTTTTCTCTGGCTATTGCACGTTAAAGTCACTTAATTTTTGAATTATAAGACTGGCTTCCTTCATTGTACTTCTTTCAATCATTGGTATTTTTGCCTCAACCATGATGCGATCTCTATGCTCTTGAGCATTTTTGGAACGTTCATCTGTATAACGCTGTCCAGAAACCGCCAATCCATCCACCAATGAAAGAAGTTCATTTATCTGTTGGTTGATTTTGACCTTATCTTTTGTCTTATTGTCGAATAATAAAGCTCTACCCCCACACTCTTCGACTAAATTTTTAAAAAACACCTGTTTGAACCAGACACCAAGGTTTAAATTGTCCATTCTCACGGACATCAAAGTTATCGCCCCATGTCATACACAGAATGCAATCATTTTTGACAAAATCAGGCCCGAAAATTCCCTTCAAAATATTGATGGTCTTCTTGTCTTCTTTCGTGAATCGTCCGCCAAATCTTGCAACCAACAGAAAAGCATGATAACCCTCTGGGTTGGCCGCGATGGTCTTATTAATTGCATCAACAACAATTTTGACACCAGCCTCATCGTCTAGGTCGGTGTCAACAATGCCAGGTCCGTCAACAATCATGATAGTACGACCGTTAAATTCAGAGTGATGCATCTGCATGCGTTTGGTGACCGAAGTCATGACTGCCTTGCTTTCAAAGAAATTTCCTTTAAGGATCATGTTTCCCGTGGCACTTTTCCCATTTCCAGTTTTACTAATTAGCAGAAGATCAACATCGCCCTTTCGTTGTTTCGCCATCGTATAAAATATCTTTAGGGATTTCTGGAAACGAAGTTAAATAAAATCAAGTTTTATTAATGTATTTTCATTTTTAAAAAAGCTGATAATATTGAAAGCAAAGGTTAACCACAACAATAAACAACTAAAAGACAAAACAAAACAAAGAAACAAACAGTTGGGAATTTAAAAAATTGTGTCAAAAAGTTGAATATAATTATTAAAAATGGACTTCCAAAAAATAATATTGAAGGGCCAGTATTTATTCGTGAATTGAAACAAAAAACTAACAAAGAAAAACAGTGGTGAAATGTAAACACATATGTTTGTACTACTCTCACTCATACAAAACCTACAATAAGGTGTTTCTGAATTAAAATTAATAGTTAATTAATTTTGTAATAATATTAGACAAAAATAATGTAAATTTTTTGATAGATAAGAAAGTCAGAGAGAGCACACATTTACATTTTAAAGTCCTTTTTTATAGATTTACGTCTGGCAAAGTTTTTGAGTACATCATCAAAGTTAATTTTGCGTAAAAAGTCTGCGTCAGTCATCAGCAAAGACAAGGAATTAAGCCTTTCTTGTTTCATTGTCGATCTATTGTATTTGTTGTACGTTTCAACTGAGAAAAAGAAGAGCACTCAGTTGAACAGTTCATAACCATTAATGTTAAAAATATGCGCAAGGCGATTTCTACATTTGGAAAAGCACACTCGATGTTGTCTCTAACTATTACTTTGTAGAGTTCTGCATGACTGAACGTGTTGTTCTCAGATTTTGATGCACGAAACTTGTGGCGAATATATGAGTGGAACTGTTGTAGTTCAGTAAATAAATTATTGTTCAGATCTTCAGGATAAGCATTTATTAGTCCTTCACAACACTGAGATGTTTGTGGTACATCGACCAAACAAGAAAATCGAACTGCTAGATCATTATATACCTGTGCTCGTCTACTCATCTCTGTCTCAAGTTTGTCAACAATGGTGTAGAAAGCAGATATACGAAATTTGTCTCTGGCATTCTGAGATACCTCAGGGGCATCACCATTAATGACCACTGTCTTTCGTTTACGATTACGGGTCAAAGTTGACTTATAATCCACACCTGGTGTTATTTCTTTTGCAGCTTCTTTAAATCTTTCAAATTCATTACTAGAATCATGCAAGTGAACTGCTAGTGAAGAATACAAATCAGCTCACGTTTTCAAGTTCACGTGCTCATTTTGTCGAGCTTGACTGACCCTATTCACAATTGTTTTCACTAGCAGACCAAAATGGAAGTGAATTTGTCGCCACGCAAAAGTGCGTTACGTAGAACATATCCCAGAAAAATAAAAAAAACATAGCAAAAAAAAAACTGGGTGGGGAGTATTTTACCCCCGGGTTGTGGGACCAAGGTTAAATAATGTGCGATTCAATACTACATTTGCGATTTGCTTATGCCATGCAACTACGCTACCTGGACAATATACACATTTTTCTTGAGGACTTGTGGTGCCCCCCAAATGCTTGGTGTCCTAGGCACGTGCCTTGTTTGCCTAATGGTTTATCCAGCCCTTTCAGGGGGTGAAGGGGAGTGAGTGATCGAGTTAGAGAAGAGATCAGGAGAATAAGAGAAGAAGGGAGAAGAAAATATATTTAAAAAGAGCAATATAAAGATTCTGAAAGAGATATTGAGAGAGCGGGAAAAGAGAGAAAGAGAGGGAAAGGGAGACCCGGATAATGGTGGCTGATATTGAGAGTGTAGTTGCTGAGAATTGAATTAATGGGTGTATCCGAGCTCCACCACACATGTATTCGAGTTTTACTAAACTTATATCTTTAAGAATCTCTTTTCTATACTTTTGAGGGCCCACGATCAATTTATTGATCCTTCTGGCTCCTGGTTTGAATTCAGAGTTTGCCTTCTCTTAGTTGGGGATGATTTTTCTGCGACGGTGATTGAACTCCAGGCCACCAAGCACACCATTAATATGAAATGTTCTCCAGTTTGTATTAATTTAATTTGACTTTCTATAAATTTAGCGACATTCTCAGATGAAAGACGAAGTCGTATAACGACCGGTGAGTTTTACGACGCACTTTTTTTTAAAATTTCATTTGTATGTTCTTTTTAAAAGTAGTTGAGCAGGGGTGTGAGAAATCTGTACAGGAGCTTACACAAAGATAAGACTGGGTTAAATTTTACGTCTTTCTCGGAGGTCCGCAAATAGCAAGCTAGAGACTACTCCAGGCACGTATTGAAATGTTATCTTTTAATATATTTTTTGATCCATGCAAAGTTAAAATGGTACACACAATGGTTAGTATATATTTTTTGTTGCTGTTCATAAACCTGAAGATGTCCGTTAATCATGTCCGTTGATCAAACTTATACCGGAAATATCCAGGGAATAAAATAACATTAGAATGTGACACTGCAATAATTTCTCTCCAAAAATTTGCTCTAAATAGCTTTTGTTTTTGTTTAAAAAGGATACCCAAGAATTACATTAGAAATGCGGTAGACAACTCATCTTTATGAGGATCATTGATTGGAGATGGGACTATTTAAAGTATTTTTTGACTTCTTTATTCAAATTGATGCACCAATGCATGATGACCAGACTACGGTGCTGTGTTAGAGGCATTTTAAAGCAAGAAGATTTAATTAGGATAAAAAAAACAGGATTTCCGTGAACTCACAGTCTGCAGTGCCGGATAAACACCCCCGGATGCCCTTAGTGTAGTCGAAATTTTGCCAACTACCCTCGAACATCAGATATCTCAATGCCACGTCAGTCAGTTTGTATTTGAATAATTAAAAAAAAATAGTATGGCCTTGAATAAGCTACGCTCAGGGTGAAGCCTAAAAAATGCACGTCAAAGGAAAGTTGATGAGTTGTATTGTTTCACTCACTTTTTGGTTTAGTCCCCTAATTCTATAAATTTAAATGCACTGGAGACCCAAAATGCCAAACAGCGCTAAATATTACGCACATACTAATACGTTCAAGACCATCTCCAGTCCCCAGGCACTCATATCCCCCCGCCCACCCGCCAAAAAACAACAACAACAAACAAACAAAAAAGAATCAAAATAGTTGAGGCAACTGTGATGACGCCCAAAAAGTCACGGGGGTCCCAAGAATGCATTTGCCCCTTTGGCAGGAGCCTCATTTGCTTTAATGTCAATCCAACACTGTTCATTTGCGACCAGATTTGTGAAAACTACTTTACATTTGGAAACGTTTTTTTTTCTATTAAAAAAAAAAGAGCTACAGGAAAATAACATTAGTGTTGTTCTTAAGAGTCTATCTGCCTAACAAAAACATGCTCGTTTAAAAACAAATAGTTAAATGAATAAAATGACCCAACCTGATAAATTTGCGCCCAAACTCTAGAGTGATAGTGCTGGGATGACGTAGTAGCTACCAATTATACAAGCTTAATCGTCTCTTGTTTTCACAGGTTTAAGCAGTGAAATAAGAAGTCTTACATCGACAGGTGAGTTATATGACTTAAGACATCACGCCTTAGAGGTCTTAACATTTTAATAGCACCATCGCAAACATTACAGTGCATTGTTATAGAAGATATTTTGATTTCTGGGAAGCGTGTGAGTTGAAAACTAAGCTAATTTGATATCACAAATGCAACCAACCTAATTTAACCCATTAAATGTAACCAATCAAATCGATTCATGCTGGGAGTCACGAAAAGCGAACTGGTGGCATGGTACTAGAAAATCGAAAGCCGCATAATGATCACAAGTTACCGTGTTTACGTATATATATATATTTCTATACGTATAACGGTATTTCCACCGTTGCATTTACGACACCAGCCTGCACACTAATGGGCACGCTGCTGGTCATGGTATATCATGACATTAAGAATTATTTTGTTGTTCTGAGCGAGTGAAGGGGCTGATGACACGCCATGTAAAACCTCATCACTGAATCGAATATTGGTCTTTTTGGGTCAAGTTTCTACCTTGGTGATGCACCTGGGATAACCAGAACACTATTCAGCTGTTTTTATTCAATTGTTTTTTTTTCTTCTTTAAACCCCTTACATGAAATTTGAAGGGGAAAAAATGTGTTGTAAACAAAGACATTTTGTATTTCAGATAACAGCACAGTGAGAGAACAAACAACATTACGTAAGTAATCCATCAATTGTTTCTTTAAATAAATGAACTAAATAGTGACAAATGAAGAGCTGCCGGGTGAACCAGATTGGTTTTTCTATAATCCATAAAAGACAAAATATGTCTTGGTCTTTGTTCTTCAAAATATAACAGTAAATTAATATTTGCCTAAAACGCATTTTTTATTTACTTTCCGATTCTAGCAAATACGAAATAAACTACAAGGACTATGGCATTTCTTAAATGGAATATTAAACAATCTAGGAGGACATTGCCGCATGATAACAACAGAGTGAAGCCTAGAGGGTTATACATGACCTCCTCCTTTCCTCTATTTTCAGCCCCCATATGAACACACTACACCTAGTTAACATATATTATAATGACTAAACAGGTCCACAATTGCACTCGCTACAACCGAGGCAGAAAATACTCAGAATTACATTTTGATTTTTTATATTTAGCTCAAACAGCAAACAAGAGTTGCACAAATGTTTTAGAGGAACAATTCTGTGTAATAATTACGTCCCTTGCACCTTTTCACTTCTAGGAACTGACACAAGTGTTGATGGTAAGTAACACAAGGAACTGACACCAGTGTTGATGGTAAGTAAAACAAGGAACTGACACCAGTGTTGATGGTAAGTAAAACAAGGAACTGACACCAGTGTTGATTGTAAGTAAAACAAGGAACTGACACCAGTGTTGATGGTAATTAAACATAGGAACTGACACCAGTTTTGATGGTAACTAAACATAGGAACTGACACCAGTGTTGATGGTAACTAAACATAGGAATTGACACCAGTGTTGATCGTAACTAAACATAGGAACTGACTCTAGTGTTGATGGTA